CTATACCCGGCCCTTAACACGTCAAAGCGGGTAATTATCCACGTTGACCAGTTACGGTCGGGTAGGATACCCATGATTTCGGGTTTGATTGCCATCCCTAGTTGCATCGGTTCATATCGCCAGCGCTATTCCTCGGGAATGAAGCGTTTGTCTTTTTTGGAGGGGGGATGAACCATCTTGCATCGACGTAGGATGCTACGACGTTGGCTCAAGACCTTGTGGCGGCAGATGGCGGCCACGTATCGTCGGCTGAGCGCCGGGAGATTGTCGTCGTTGCTGAAGGGGTAGACCAATAACTACATACAAAACAAGCACAAGGGTTTGGTTAAAATGGTTGATTAGGGTTTTCTTTTCATTTTTTGGCTAATAGGTTTAAGATTAATAGCAAACTAGCTTTTAATATTTTTCTCTAATACCTAATATACCCTTAATAACAAACTAACTACTAACCTTCTATAAACTAACTAAAATCCTTTCAACCAATAGTAAGAGTTTAAGCACTGGATCTGACCCAGGCATGTTGCAATGGATCTCCGTTTGGAATGGAGGCCCATACCATATCTCTCTCTATTAAGTGAGAAGTTGGATCTTTATATTATAATAAATTCTTAACGTTTGGCAAAGGCAAAACCCTAAAAAAGCCTTTGTCGATCTGTAAGTAGGGATGCAAATGAGCCCAGCTGCCCGCAAGCAACTCGACATTCGAATCGAAAAAAACTCGTTCGTCACTCTAATCGTTATTTAACAGGCCGGATCGTGAACCAACTCGTTAGTAAACGAGCCAACCTTGAGCTAGGTCATGCTCAACTTGATAAGCTCGTGAGCTAGCTTGACTTGTCGACTTGTTGAGATTAGTTCGCGAGCTTCCTTATTTAGAGCTTGCATAAGGATTAATTACTCTTCTGAATATGAACATTATCTTGTTAATACGGATGTGTATAGAAGTTAGATGTTAATTTTAATTTCTACTGTTCTTTTTATCATTTAAATTCTTATGTTTACACATTTTTTCGGCAAGAATGATTTCAAATTATGCTCATCTTGAGCCGAGTTTGAACTTAGCTTGACAAGCTCTGTTAATGAGCATTTATAGAGCTCTATCGATTCGAGCTCAAGCTAGATTATTTTTATTCAAGCCGAGCTCGAGCTGGATTATCAAAATTCGAGCTCGAGCTAAAAAATTTATAAACGAGTCGAGCTCAAGCTAAGCAAAAACTTGACTCTACTCGGCTCGTTTGCGGCCCTATCCGTAACGAATCCAGACCAGTAAGTGACTCGACTCTACTGTCACTCCAGGAATTGGCCAAGTGTAACCACTTCCTAAAGCGTAGTATAGCGGGTTTAGGTTTAATTATCAACCCGGGTCCTAGATTTGCTGACTACTCAGTGATTTCTTGTTATCTAGCAATAAAACTAGAGTGCAAGTCTAAACTACCAAACAAACAAAGCAAGTAAACTGTTGTATTCAGGTTAAAGAGGTCACCCGGATATGGTTCCCCCTAGACTGCAGTTAAGCCGGATTGTAATTACCAAGTTCAGTTTCTATGACAGTTATACTGCGGAAGGTTCTCAAACAGCCTGAAGTCTCGACTAAAGGTCTTCAGACCCTCTCAATCTGACTCTCTAGCGGGCGACTAACCTCCACCGGAGTCGACAGATTGAGGCCCTAAGAACAAAACCTCCACTACCGGAGTAAATCCGGTACAGAATAGTGAGTTGGCTCCTCGACTAAAGTCACCAACTCCCTACCTTCAATCAAGGATACTCTATTAACCTAGGCAGATATTCTCATTCTAGGTTAAAGCAGAAACAACAGGAATTTGATCAGGATTCAAGTCATTCAATCATTAAAACCTCAATCGAATATAATCAATCACAAAATCAGTACTTGGGTTCATACAATCAAAGCCTAACATACAAATCTAGGGTTCTCCATACCCAGATGAATGGGAGAACTACTCCATGGAGAAGAAAGCAAAAGCAGAATCAGACACGGAATTCATACTGCAAAGGATCGATTCCTGCTTCTGGACGTTGATTGGCACTTCTCCAAGCTCAAGCTGGCCTCCAATGGTGTTGAAGATCAATCTAGGGCACTTGGAGACTCTTGTTCGTCACTTTCTCTCTCTAGGAACTGATCTCTCTCTCAAAAACTCCAATCCCCCTTCTTTGGTTCGGAATTTGGCTTAAAACCAGGAAATCCCGACTCGCACGGCCAGGGTGCACGGCCGTGCATATCACCATTCTGGCCGTGCACCTCAAAACGCGGCGTATCAATTAGTTGAACCTCAGCCAACTCGCACGGCCAGAATTGTATGTTGCACGGCCGTGCGGATTTCACTTGTGCCCGTGCGTGCCCACGCACAATCCCGCACGGCCAAAATGGTCACTTGCACGGCCGTGCGTGGCCACGCACAATCCCGTGCGTGCCCACGCACAATCCCGCACGGCCAAACTGGTCACTTGCACGGCCGTGCGTGGCCACGCACAATCCCGTGCGTGCCCACGCACGATCCCGCACGGCCAAACTGGTCACTTGCACGGCCGTGCGGGTTGTGGGTGTGCCCGTGCGACTTCCTCAAAACCTCGCCATGCGTCCGATCCTCGTCCAATCGACCCCAGACTCGCTCCTAAGCCTTCATTCACGTCCTAGGACCTGAAATATCACAAACAAGCACAACCTACCGTGAAATCGGCCTAAAACACGAGAATCAACACCTCAAACGGTGTAAGAATGGGGGTAAAAACATGTGTAAATGACGGTCTATCAGTAAGGCTAACCACAACCCGGGGTGCAAAATTAGGGGTTTTAAGGCTATTTTAGCCTTTTAGCCCCCCTCGAAAACATAAACAGCTGCAACCCTGATGGCTAAAAATTTCTGTTGCGTATTTAGCAATCCTAACTTATGAATAGTTAAACTTATGTTTTCTAATTCAAAATTTATATATTCATTCATGATAATTGAATACGAACATTCCGATAAAATTTGAGCAAATTCTGAAATACTTTGTTTTTAGTTGAAATAGAAGAAAGTTACACGAAAATGAACTTCGTTCATCAAAATTACCTGGAGTTTGAACAATTTCGGAGATACCTTTTTTTAGTTGAAATGGAAGAATATTCTAATTTTTAAATACATATTTTTTTTGTTTTCAAATAGCCATCGAACGGTTGAAAGTTACAATGAAAAGAATTTCGTTAGTTAAAAGCACTCACAACAATACAAGTATATTCAATTTAAATACTAAAAAAAACTAAAATAATCCCCCACCATTTTAGCCTCTCTTAGAGCATCTCCATTGGTGCAATTGCATTTGTGATTTTTTTGACACAACACAATTTTTGCAAGCCAACTCACTTTACTTTCATTGTACCTACATTGGTGCAATTAACTTGCAATTGCATATGAGGCCTAAATTTTTTTAATGCATTAAAAAAAAATTTAAATACCTTTTTATCCACATTGCAAGTAAATAAAATAATAATTTTGATATTTGTAGATATGAAATCAAAGTAATAAAAATTTAATTTTACATTTATATTATTATTTATAATTTATTATAATTAATAAAATTAGTATATGATGCTATTTACTCCCATTGATACAAAAATTAAAATAATACTAATTTAACACATGGTCCATGGAAATTATACAAAAAAATTCCAATAAGAATTAAATCTATGGCACATGCAGCCAAAAGTGGTCATTGAAATCAAAACAAGAAGAAAAAATTATAGCACAAATTCCACCGTGGCTTGCAATCCCATTTTCACTAGATGAAAGTTTCCATTTTTGCAATTGCCACTCATATGGGTGCAATGGGCAAATGAAATTGCAAACTTGGGCCACGTAGGAATGAAAGTGGGGAGAGTCAAACCGATGGAGATGCTCTTAAATAAAAAAAAAAAAAAACACACACACACCTAAAAACTACTTTTAGCCCCTTAGCAACCATTTTAGTTAGGGTTGAAAAGCAATTTTGATGGCTTTTGGCCTTTTAGCCCCTGGTTGTGGACAGCCTAACTGACGAACATAACTATGGGGCGGGGGGAAGTGCCTCCGTCAAAGAGGTCGTAGCAAAATTAGGAGGGTTCGAGAAGGTAGCGAACAGGCGGGAGTCGAGTTTTTGAGGTAGATCGATCTGAATTCTGAAGATTTCTACCCGTCAATCTTGAATCCCTTCTCTTTGCTTTTTCTATATTGTGGAATTCTACTAATGGATCGAATCTAGCGATTACTGAAATTGGATTGTCTAGGTGTTCGTCGTAGCGAGTCTTATGGTGTCCGTTTAGTCTTACTCCCGTTTTGTCTCGATTCTATTCAGACTTGTTTCCGGTATCCAAGAACAATGGCGGGGGGAAATTTCATGCACAGGGTGCTTTCTTATGTGGTGAATGAGCTTATCGTCAACAGTTTAGCCAACAGGTATTGTTCTTGCCTGAACAATCATCCTCTTCGATTAGGGTTTCGGTTCCTTGTGCCTTGATCTCTGCCGTTAGCCCTGCACATCGTCTTTTCTCACTTCTTGCTGTTTGGGTTGCTCTCCCGTTGCAAAGCACTGTTCTTTCGTATAAGCTTCTATCTCCGACCATCTGGAATGGCTCCTTCCTCTTTGGTTCGTTCATTTGAAGCCAAAGTGTCTGTCAGCTTCCTGTAATCTCTATTTCCTGGTGTGTCATAATATACGTGCACTATGAACTTGGAAGTTTCAGAGAACATAAGCATCTCAATATTGTTCCTCTTTCAGTTGTGGAAGTTTAATGACATGATCATTAGACCCTTCACTATTAGGCTGTCGATATAATGATATGATTCCGAGCAGTTTGCTCCTAGAAATGGCTCGAACCTAAACTTTTGGAGTTGCACTGCAATGTTATCATTACAGCTCTGAAGGTTTGAAATAGTTTTTGCCATAGGTTCATTAATGGTTTATCAATTATTTGCTGTTCCTTTTATCCTTGTCGCCTGTGATGACAATTTGACCTTGAGATAGCAGAAATGACTGCTCAATTGAAATCATCAAATCTGAGGCCTCCCTATGTGATTGATTTAGTAGACATGGTACATCATTACTTATGGTTTCAAGTTTTGCATATTCAGAATATTAGTATTGTTGAGTCTGGGTTTATTGGTACGTTCTGTGCCATCATACAGTTACCAGGGCCTGTTTCCAAGCTCTTTTGGAAGTCCTTACTAAAGTATAGATGTATTGTCTTTTGTTTTGGGTGGTTGCAGTCCTTCATTTCAGAGGTTTGCTGTGAGGACATCAAAGAGGTTGGAGGATGTTTCAAGTCTTGGTATGTCTCCTCCTTTGCATTTTGTCCCATGCCGTCTTGGGTTAGTTTTCTTTCGGATTTGGTCTTATATTGTAGATGTGTATATTTCAGCTGGGAGGACGAATCAGGAACTTTCTGAACGTATGAGAAATGTGACCGATGTAAGATTTGCTTGTACTGGTTTTTAGTTGCTCTTGTTGGTTTGTTGATTACATAAGCGACTAACTTGTTTCTGTATTACGGCAGAATTTCAAGAACTAGTAATCTAGACTCTTGATGTTGAAGATCGCAGAGGATATGTAAATTTGTTATGCCCTGCGATGGGAACAGTAGAAAGAGTTATCAAGTAGATAATGATGAAATAGCTTGCAAGGCATACTGTAGCCTTTTCGTTTTTCTTTGGGGTAGTAGTTCAGGCATACGTATATGTAATATTTAGGTCGTTTGGATGAGGAATTTTAACGGATTAATTTGGCTAGATTGTCTCATGTTGAGTGAACTTGGCTAAATTGATCTGTTTGGCAGCACAAAATTAAGATGAAGCAGTTCCGCTTGTTGAATTTCTAATTGACTCATTTTGTGGCAATTACAATTGTCTGGGGTGGGCCAGACAATTTGAATTGACTCGTTTTAAATGACTCGTTTGTAAAATGTGACAATTAATCAAATTGTCTCGTTTTTTAATTGATCCATCCAAACGACCCATTCATTTTCAAATTTCTGAACCAATAAAGCATATTCGAAAGAAATATTTGCTGTTGCGATGAGCATTTGTATGAATTTTACACTATACATTGTTGGGGGTCATTTATTTTTGTTTAGGGTAGATGGATCAATTGAAAACGAGACAATTTGGGTAATTGTTTCATTTTACAAAACTAGCACTGACCCGACCCTTGCGAATATCACAATTAAATCCCACCTAAGGCCCAAGTATAAACCTTAAATGGGTACAATATAGGGCAAGTATGTTTAAATTTCAACCTGGGCCGGTCCATGCACCCCTACTTCAACTGTTTAAATATTATCTAGCGGAATGAAATTTGAAAGAATCTCTACAATCTACGATTGAAAGTGCAAGGCTTGAAAAGTAAAAGAGTTCAATCTTTTGGTGAGAAGTTTCACTCGTGAGTTGTTTCCCCCTAACTAACTATCATGAACTGTGGAATCGAATGAATTGGTGTGTGACAAGGCGATTGCGAACCGTAGGAGGAGCAACAGTGGTTGGAAACCACACTCTCAATCGCTAGGCCAAGGAATGCATTAGAGGCGACGAAAGTAGCTCTCTTGGCCCAAGCAAAAGAGGATTGACTTACCTTCTCCCTCAAACCGGGGGTTGGACGGTTTAATCACAATTAACCTAGATGTCTAACTTGCAATGTTGTCAGAACCGAACTGGAGCATGACCCGGTAATGCGAACGGCTCGCACTTTAGCGGTCCAACCGGCATTAGACCGTTTAAAAACCGTTAGTGAACCGGTATCTAATAAACGTTATCAGTATAAATAGTGGACATTTCTTAATCAGAGCTCATCTCTTTCCTTCGAAATTGTGAAATGGAAATAAGGATTCAATTTGAGAGCCCGACGTTTTTGGTTTATTTCAATTTTCAATTTTCTACAATTTTATTAATTAAATTTAGTGGCTGAATGGCAAAAACCGGACGAGCGGCTCGATCGGCTCGAACGGTTAACCGCCTCGGCCGCTCGCAAACCGCTACATAAAACCGGAGCGGCTTTTAGACTGTTCCGAGCCGGTTTTGTGACCGGGTGACGGTTTTATCGGTCGGGCCGAGCGGCTTGGCTCGGCTTTAATAACACTGCTAACTTGAGTATAGAGGTTTGTCTTAAATTGACCTAGCTCAATTAGAGCCTCTTAAGGAAAGGGGGCTTCTCTCTAAACTAGGTTAGGGTAGCACAATAGATTGCCAAGCACACACAATGCACAATCATCATGAACAATGCCTCAAAACTTTAAATTAAACATCACCCACACACAATCATTCAATCCATACAATCAACTACATGGTGGAAGTTAGAGTTCTACAACACCCAAGTGAATAGGAGACTACTCAATGCTAAAAGAAGGAAGAACACAAAGGAAAAAGGAAAAAAACATCATTGTGATGCCTCAACCTTTCCTTGTGCTTTAGAGATCCTCGCTTGAAGAGGAACTTCCCAATTCTTGACTTGGAGCAAACCCTAGCCTCTTCTCCCTCTTGATTCGTGACTTTCTCTATCTAGGGTTTCAAGAAGAAGAAAGTTTCTCTCACCTTGGACTCTTCTTTCTTCTTCCTTTCAACTCTCCTTTTATACACTAATCGAGCCTAGTTCGCGGTCCCAGTTCACAGTCGTGAACATCTGGCCTGCACCATAAACACAACCAATACACACCGCTTTCACTTGTTGAGTTTGCGGTCCATGGCTTCAGTAACTTCCGAAACCTCTCTAGACGCCTTTCAGTTTGCGGTTCATGGCTCCATTTTACGGTTCTGGCAAGCGTGAACTCACAGCTTAGACCGTGAACAACGGCGGTTTCCTCCTCTTTGCCTAGCCCTCGCGCTATTTCTTCCAACTTTCGACTCCGGGGTTGGTTCCACCCGTTAGACTCTAAAACACATGGAAACACAGCAAACCTAGCATAAAACCACCCTTTATGGAGCTTAAATGCCACAAACGTCAAAGAGAAACAGAGATAAAAAGTGTACAGTTAGGCCCGAATCACTTCCCCACACTTAGACGTTTGCTTGTCCCCAAGCAAACCATTTCACACAAGGTAATATCTCAATCTAACAAAAGACATTGGGGACAACTCAAAGGGAACAAAGTGGGGAATCTCAATGGCTATTGGCAATTAACTCATGGACTTTTGCAAGCGACACCGACATCAACCACAAACGACATTCGAGACCACCAAAAATGGCAAACAAAAAGTTCTCACCTTGTTCATGAATCAATGCAAGTCTCAACAAGATCACTCATCAACCACAACTAACCATGCATAATATTCAAGTCCAAGGAATAAACTAATGGGCAACAAAGGTCCTCACCGGGGTATGATATGACATGCAAAGCAAGAATGAATCACTCAGTCACTCTCCCAGTGGGGTCGGGACTATTTGGTGCAAAAGAATGTGCACAATCATCAACTCTCGGCCCTAACGTCTCTTCACCATGGAGGCAACCTCTAAATGTTAGAGTTCACGGGATGGTTATCATCACTAGCTTGTCCGGAGGTCTTAGACACGTTCAAATGACTGGAAATTGTCTTTGACATGGGGAAAAGACTTTTTGGGTGGTGGAAAACACAACATGAGGTCCTACATCTTCACCTTAAAACTGAAAGGTTCTATGGTCTCGACTAAGAACCTTCCCTACACACAGCAGCCACTAGCATCGGTCAAAAACCTTATTTCTCCCTTCCAAACTATCACCCATCACGAACTACATTCAAGCACACTTCCTCGGTCTATTCTTGCTACCACATTTCAAACATAGTAGTGAAGGAGTTCAATAACAATGAAAGTGTTTCAATGGCTTGAGTGCAAAGAAACCCCTCCTAGAGCATACACTTTGATTTTTGTGGCACTCTCTACTTTATCTACCCCGCTTTATTACCTCTTTTCGATTATTTTCTTTCTACTTTTATTTACTTTTCTTTTCTTTTCTTTTCTTTTCTTTTCTTTTCTTTTCTTTTCTTTTCATTTGAGGGGGGTACTAGAGAGTAAAACACTTGACACATTACATTTAACAACCAATGCTCTCTTGTTAGAACTTACTCCAACACTACTCTTTTCTCTTTCATTCCTAGCAAGAACCGCACCAAATCCTCCTATGTAGAACCTCAATGGAGCTCCTAAGCACGAGCTCCGAAACACAAGGACGACTCACATATAGACACGAAGAAAGGATGGGGGCACAAGGCTCAAAGGGGTTGACTAGGGGATAGAACATTTCGGGACAATTAGCCTCCATCATACTCACTAGTGACAACTGTGATATTACTCACCATGGTAAGAGGGATCAAAGCACACAAGAAGAAAATGATCGACTTAAAACTCACATGCCTACCTAGTCACCCAACCATCTATTCCGATTCACTAAACACAATGCATGGCAATTGTAATAAACAAGTAATTGAGTCAAGACATCCATTCATTTTAGCACTAGTGAGAACTAAACCTTTGCACTATCCTAATGCTTCTCTCAGTCATCATCATAGGACACACTCGATCACATGCAACAATTCAAGGTCAATGCCAATAAACACGAGATTCTCCCACAAATTGATCACTTTGATCATGCAAGCATTGCTTGTAGCCCTCAAACTTTTCAAATTTGGGCATACAAAGGCTCTAACCATCCAATCACACTCAAACAAGCATAATAACAAACTATCCCCCCCCCCCATTAAGCTCGACATTGCCCTCATTGACGTAAGATAGGGGTAGAAATATGTTACCGCATGGTTTGGTGATTGAAAGTTGGAATTATTTTTCTGGGGTATGAGATTGGTGCTTCATGCTTCAAGGAGAAGACAAAAACAAACACACACACACACACACACACACACACACACACACACACACACACACACACACACACACACACACACACACACACACACACACACACACACACACACACACACACACACACACACACACACACACACACACACACACACACACACACACACACACACACACACACACACACACACACACACACACACACACACACACACACACACACACACACACACACACACACACACACACACACACACACACACCGAATAAAAGAAAATAAAAGATTAAAGAGTTCATAGTTCCAAGTGAAGAAGTGGGGCAAAAGGAATCGACTATGCCACATGTCTCACTAGTCTTCTACCTCATCTGGGGTCGAAGGTCCCGGATCATCATTGGGAGAAGTCCCTGGCGATGAGCTATCTGCTCCAGTAGGTCGGTGTGCCGGTCGAGCCGGGAAGTGACACCCACTACGTGGGTCTCAGGGCGATCCATCCACTCCACGAGGTGCACCTCGGAGGTGGAAGGACCGGCTCCTGATGATGATGCTACTGATGGTGGTATGGGTGGAGGACGCTGGAGTGCAGGACGTCGGCGACGGCCGGGAGCTC